GGTTGAGGTAACTCCAGTTCTTCGGGTTCTCTAAACCCAAGGCTAGCAGAGCTTGACTGTAGCTGGGCAGCCCCATATCCCTGCCACGCTGGATGCTGCTGGCCACGTAGTCTGTGCGGGAGAACTTGCCAAAGCCAGGCCAATAATCTAAGGAAGGGAGAGGACTAGACTATAGGCTCAGTCACTTCAAACCCTTCTTTGCCCAATAGCCTCCAATTGGGCTGTTGACACTACCCCCGCCCCCCCCGAGCACTTTTCTACATGTGACTATATCCATACCATCCTTGCCTAGGTGTGGAGTCCATGTCACCATGGCACAAGAGACTTTTTCTGCTAAGTCTCTTCCCTTAAGACTCAAGACTGTTTTAGTTACCAAGCAGAAAATTCCCTAGCCTTTACCTCCTTAACTTCAAGACAAGACTGAATGAAAACGTTTAGAGACCTAAGCATTGAAGAGATTGTGGTGCCGCCCTTCCCCCACATACTCAGACATGGGCAATTTAGAATGAAAACAACACTACACTGTAAGTTGGGGGGAATTTTTCAAAGCTTATTTTCTTCTAATGGCTATTTGCAGTGTATCTCTGTCTCTGCACTGTAGGTACCATAGGTCTACCTGTTGATTAACTCAAAAGAATCCCCAGGCTGCCAGGCCTCCAGGCCCCTTTCCCTTCTGGTTCCAGAGCTCACCCCTAAGATCTTCCACCACTATCCTGTCCTCCAGCTCTGAAATCTGGGAGGCCATTCCCAGCAGCAGGTGATTCACTGCCTGGGCACTGTTCAGGTTGGGGTTCTGGAAATAAACAAGACTCTCAGTCAAGAAGGCTTTCAGGTCCCTCCCCAAAGCCCAATCCCTCTAACCTTGGACCACAGGACAAAGGTCCCTTGGCCAGTCCCAGACTCTCTTGAGCTGTTGTCCCCAGATAATTTTCTGATTCCCCTACCCTTCATCTCCCACCACCCTGGAGCAGCAACACTCAAGAATTGGAATTGTTGCTTTCCCCAGCCTATGTAATGAGACTGACCTAGAGCCACCTTCCCTTGACCCTGACCCCAGGCTGACCTCCCGAGTCCAGTAGCTGTTGCAGACTCTGAGAGCTCTGGAGTTGTTATGACCCTTGTTGGTGATACTCTGGAAATCACAGTTGGCATTTCTGAAATGGGGAATCAAGAATGTGGTGAGGGGATTCAGGGAAGAAGCTAAGATGGGGTTGAGTTAGGTGAAGGATTCAGAGGGGGTTGGCCAGGTCTGAGGGATAGTCCCGGAACTTCCTTGAAGTTCTGGCAATGTGTGTGGATTGAAGATAAAGGTTGCTCTTTGTCCATTCAGAATGGGCAGGGAAGGAGGGAAAAGAGTTACCCAGCTGATGGACAAATCCTGCTCTGAGCAACTGAAATTCAGTCATTACAGGAGCTGGGGAGATTTCCCGCTTAAGGCTGAATTTCCTATCCCAGGGTCCTGTTTTAGGACCCCAACGTCTGCTTCCTTCACGTCATTGTAGAGGTGTATAAAATGCTCCAGGACCCCAGGCCCACTAATTCACCACCTTGGCCAGTGCTGTGCCTCCTCTCCCATCACCAGCCTCTCCCTCACCTCATGTAGACGCCAGGGGGCACCATGGTGGAGAGGAACTGTTCAGAGGCTGCCAGGAACTCTGGAGAGATGCTGGGGTCCAGGAAAGGGCGGGAGCAGGCCAGAGGAAAGGTGGAGCGAATGCTCCAGCTGCCAGGACAGGAGGGATCTGAGCCAGGGAAGGCTTAAGTGGGAGAGGACGACCAGGCAGGGGCAGTCATGGGAAAGGCAACTCAAATGGGAGAGGAGCTGAGGCCTCTCCCACAAGGAACAAGGGACTGGGGGAGGGGGGGGGCAGCTAAATCTCTTGTGTAAGTGGCACTTAGCCTCTCTGTCATCCCTAGACTTTAGCTCTCCACACAAGCAGGGGTCCTGCGAGCGAGGGAAGGCGGGTCACCCGGTCCTGGTCACCAGCTGTCCCAGTAAAGGGTGTTTCTGGGTGGCCGGTGTCCAAGGATGGGGGCTTTGCACGGGAGCAGAGTCCCCGTGGACCAGAGCAGGAGGGCGGGGCGGGGAGGGCCGTGGCACTGACCTGGTAGGTGGCAATGACCCTCTTGCGCGCGTGCTGGAACAGCTCCTCGTCCCCCCAGCGCGGGTGCTCGCGGGCCAGCCTCTGCGCGCACAGGTTGTGGTAGCGGAACCAGAGCAGGCCCAGCGCCTGCAGGAAGGGCTCGCGGTTCCCTCGCTCGGCCCCGAAGGCTGCATCCGCCAGGGGGACGCAGGAGGGAGAGGAGCGGGTGTGACCCAGGG